GGCTGGAATTTCGCAATACAAATATAACAATATAAGTTATGTATATTTCCAAATATAAATTTAACTTAAACAAATATCGATATTAAAATAGATACATAATAGTAAATCTGTCACAGCAGAATAATGTGATACCTACATTTCTAAAGGATAATACATTAAGGATATTTTCGAATATTTTTGTCGGTATTTTAATGTATCCTTATCACTGATTGGAATGAAATTAAACTAAACAAAAAATAAAGTTTCCTGAAGTTTTCATTCGTATACAACATCGTTCTAATTAATACTATTTTATATTTGGAACTGAGGAAATAATTTGGCTGGCTGAAAAACAACAACAACAGAAACTGACGATTGATTCGCAAAGGTTCATCCAAAATTTAAAATTAAACTGCCCAATCTTCTTTAGTAAGTAGTTTTGGTAAGTATCTTAAAATTAGAAGATAACACTTTAAATTAATAACTTTTTCTTTCTTATGCTGCATGAAATCAAACTGAATGACCTAAGGAACAGATTCTGAGGTTCTTCGGGAGGCTAAATATCAAATTCGATAATATCTTATTATACCTTTGATGTAAAAGGTAAATATTTGAGGCAGCAAATTTTCCAGTATCGTGATCTGTTACTTATAACATGATCATGTGTTTAACTTCGTTTCAAGTAATAGATATTCGCAACAAATATTCAAGGCGAGCCATCTAGAACTGTATACCATGGAAAGCAACTGCTACGGTTAAGTTCAGTGTTTCTCAGTAACCAAAGTTGACTGATCCCCTACATATCTCGTTCTGCTACAAACTAGTATTCTGGTTTTCTTCCAATTATTTCATGATTTGACGATTCTACGTTTTCAGTATAACATTTTGTAGCATAGTCATTTTTATTAGAGCCCAAGTACTTATTGTATATTATTTTCCTTCTCTTATTTATTTTCATCCTGTTTCTTGATGCACATGCGTTACATTTTGATGGATAGCTTAATTGTTCATACTAGGTGTTTTATTCGTACTTACAAGAGATTTCAGAGTTAATTTTGATGTCATTCTTAAGAGTAAATTAAACTTTTAATAGTTAACTTTTCCGATCAGATTGGCATAAAAATATTGATATTGTCCAGGTTGTCCAATTGCTTTGATATACAAACATTGGATGTGAACAAAACATTTACTTAAAGGTCATGTTTTGATTTTATTGTATACATTCATCGAATATCACGAGCGTTTGTATCTAGTCTAATTTAACCATTAGAAGATGCCATTTGATATTATTATAATGAGCCACCTGATGCAAATACACCAGGAACGTATATTGCGTTCTAGCTGAGATTGCATATGAGGCAAAGCGGTTCTATTTATCGTTTAAACATATATATTTGGCTGTTTAACGTTGAAGATAAATGATGTTGAATTGTTTTATTCTAGCAGCAGCAGTACCTAAAGTGTCGCCTGTTGATGCAGAATGTAAGAGATCTACTAAAGAAGTATGTGAAAGTGATCGTCTAGCCTGTCCAGAGAATATTGATGTAAGTTACTACTGCTGTATTTATATTAATAAAACAACATGTATTTCTTTACATTGCATAGTGACAAATGCAAAATTTGTTTACTCTTATTTTTCAGAATCTATGAATTTCTGTTATATTTTTATTTTCACTCTCCAAAGAATTAAATATACCCTATTTTTATTATAGGTCTTATTTATCTCCCGATATAGATATAACATTTCAAAGCATGAAAGAACATATTTGATTTAAAATGGATTTAAAAGCATATATTTCAATGTTCTTATAACAAACAAGAAGGTTTGACATTCGTCTTGGAATAAATATTCATGAAAATAATCATGTTTCATACCACAACTTCTTGAATATTTAATGATATCTTAATACCATACCTTTGAGGCCCACAAACAAGGCACATAAAATAAATCACTAATTAGTTACTTAAGAACCTGAACTCTAATTTTAATGAAGCAAATAGCTACATTTTTGTTATTACAGATAGAAAACTTGTAAAACCTAAGATAATAACCGATATAGGATAATTCTCATCTGTTTCTGAACTCGCACCACGTATGGCAGGCAGAACATAAACCTAAAGAGAATGATCAATTTATCTTGACTTGTAGTAGATTTTGTAATTAACTCATTTACAATTGTCCAACTAACACCACTTAAAACAAAGCAATAAATGTCTTTGTAATAGATGCAAAATCAAAACTGTTGTAGACTTGTTTGAGTGATTGAATATTTGATTACCTATACATCGTGGGCTTATGTGTTAGAAAACTGGAAACTGTACACAGTTTGGTTTCAGATATATTTTCATGCAGCCTACTGTTTATCATAATGAGATATACTGCTCATCATGCTCTGCACTTTTAGTTGCAAAAACGCTGTGGGTGTGACAGTAAATTATGGTATTCGGTTAATAGTGACAGTTTGCTACTGACTAGTTGCCCTCTCTCTGGTATGCAGTTCAAAATTTGGAACAGCGAGGCCCGAACTTTGGGGCATTTGTCTTGACTGTTTACCCAGTTGTCGCATAAGATGCCATTTAATTAAGTTAAAATGTGAATACCAATTAATAGTTTAGTTTTTTAATTTAAAGAGCCAGACAAATGAGCTTTTTATGTTGTGTTCACCGTGGGTATCAAAACCGGAATTTTAACATTATAAGCCCTCACATTTATCGCTGAGCCACCAAGAGACGTTTTTAATACGAAGTCCTCATTGAAAAAAATATTATCTATTTCTTACTGCAGTAATATTTTACCTAAAATTATGATGAATTTAAAGATGGATTCGAACTAGAATAAATGATATTAATATAAACAACTATTTAACTTAGTTACTACAATATATTTTGCAAGAACAATCATCACAGTTAAAATAAATTTGAATCAAGAACTCTCTACAAATTATAATATAGTTCTTACAGGCTTTTATACTCATAGCGATTGGATTGCATTGAATCTTCAGTTGCTTGCCCTTGATGTTCATGATATTTGTAACCAAAATTGTATGATCATGTCGCAATAACTGAGTATTTTAAGCATTTAAGTCAAGCATGAGCAGGTCTGGCATGGCCAGTTGATTAGTGCACTAGACTCGCAATCTGCGGGTCGCGGGTTTGAATCCCCGTCGCACCAAACATACTCGCCGTTTCAGCTGTGAGGGCGTTATAATGTGTCGATCAATCACACTATTCGTTGGTAAAAAAGTAGCGGTGGGTAGTGATAACTAGCTGCTTTTCCTCTAGTCCTACACTGCTAAATTAGGGACGGCTAGCACAGATAGCTCTCGTGTAGCTTTGCGCGAAATTCATAACAAACAAACAAGCACGAGCATGCACAATGCAAACTGTTTTCTTTATATGTCTAAATATAATTCATGAAAACCAAATATAAAACAGATATAAAAACTGGTTATCAATGAGCAAGTATAAATTATACATGAAATATGAATATTTTGAGCTAATTTTATGCGTTAGGCCTATGGAATCGAGGTTGATCCAGTTTAATACTAAACTTTCGTCACTGCATGCTGAGTTTGTTTCTTTATAGGCCTATATTATAACTCACAATTCTTTAAAGAAACGCGAGTGTGCACACATACCCAACTCCCACACATAAAATAAACAATGTATGATTTATATATATATATACTAAAAATAAACAGCTCAAACCTTTGATTCTTTCAGTATACATAAATGTCTGTGTGTGTATCAAAAATCCTCTGCCCAGCTATGTTGTCACGTGCGCAACACTTGCGGTATCGGCGTAAATAGGACTAGTAAAACGTTCTATGTTGTCACGTGCGCAACACTTGCGGTATCGGCGTAAATAGTACTAGTAAAACGTTCTATGTTGTCACGTGCGCAACACTTGCGGTATCGGCGTAAATAGTACTAGTAAAACGTTCTATGTTGTCACCTGCGCAACACTTGCGGTATCGGCGTATATAGTACTAGTAAAACGTTCTATGTTGTCACTTGCGCAACACTTGCGGTATCGGCGTAAATAGTACTAGTAAAACGTTCTATGTTGTCACGTGCGCAACACTTGCGGTATCGGCGTAAATAGTACTAGTAAAACGTTCTATGTTGTCACTTGCGCAACACTTGCGGTATCGCCGTAAATAGTACTAGTAAAACGTTCTATGTTGTCACTTGCGCAACACTTGCGGTATCGCCGTAAATAGTACTAGTAAAACGTTCTACAAACTTACAGATAAAATGGCTCCAATTTTTCATTCTAAATAAATGAGTACTGTTTCATTATATTTACTCATTATATTTTGCAAAAAAAAAAACTAACAGCTGTTATTTTTGTACGTGTCGTAATGTTTATTAAGTGGTAACTGGCATGAAGCAGAGCAAACAAAGAACATAAATTGACATGGTGCCAGATTTAACTGTTTATCAAAGTTCAAATGTTTCAGTAAATATTACAGCTATAAGACTGATAACACGTTTAACCGTTTTTGGTTAAACTTGAAATCATAATCAGCTTTATCATTATGTGACGTTATAACTACCAATGAAGGAGCTGGACTTCGCCAACTTAAGCCTCACGGCTCCTACCTTTAGGTTAACCAACCAATCTGTTAAAAAATCACAAAGAACGTGAAAAGAGAAAATCTTTTGCGTGAATTGTCTACAGAAGAAAAGTGAAATAGGATGACTAAAAACAGTTACAATTTTACATGTAGTGGAAAAAATAAAATATTTATATAAACACCATATTCAATAGTTTTGACTTGGTCCACAAACTGAAAAAAACTATAATTTATTTCTACATTGTTTATAACTTTTATGTAAAAATTATTGTTAATACTTTTTAGTGTTTCAAGATTCTATAAATTCTGGAGAAAAACTTTCATATAATCTGTTGGAGTTAAAGAAATAAAAAAAAGTGAAAAACAAGTCAACATGAAAATTATAAAAAAGCAGAAAACTACAAAGTGGATGATTTTAACTCAGATGCAATACATGGTGTTCCAAAATTCGTATACCATATATAGTTGGAACACCTGTAGATGCTGTATGAGAGTAATGTCTAGCAATAACATGTTTATCAATCAATAACAGAGAAACTACATGTTTGTGGTATGTTCTGTTTCTTTATTTAGTGCAAAACACATAATGGGCTAACTGCTCTCTGTCCAGAGCGGGAAATCGAATCCAGGATTTTACAATAGTAAGTCTGTGAACATACCACTGACCCACCGGGGACCTATGGTATAACATCAGATAAAATGTGTTATGCATATTAACCAAATAAGTGAAGTGTTTGAAATATCATGATAAACTTCTTATGCCCCATTATTGCAGGTCAAAACCTTTTGTGATTAATAACATGATGAATCAAATTCTCCTTAATAAAACTGCTTGCTAAGACAATATTTCATGTAAATATTAGGTCGTTAAGAAATTAATGTCGCCTTTTTTTAGATGAAAAACCCAAACAACTTATATATATCAAAACAAAACATTTATTAAACGAAATAGTCCCCATTCTTTTCGATGATCTTTTCCATCTTACAATCAGATTGTTAATCCCCAGATTGGTAATACCACTTTAATTAGTGTCGGCAACATATCCACTTACATTAACTCTCTGACTATTATATATACAGTTATTGAGTAGTATTAATTACACAATTATCTGTGTAACTTTACACAAACAAGTTTTTTTATTAGCTGTTGCATAAGTTTCTGTAACGTAATCCCGGTAATCTGTAAGACACTTCAGACAAAAACATATGGCAGTTAGCCAGCTAGCTTACTTTGTTACACTGTTCACCTAAAGTTACATACACAGATTTATTTCTTATGTAGGAATATTGCTGGATGTCTTGTGTGATACAAAACGGTGGTATCCAGAGTTCACATATGCTGAAAAATACGATTTATTTTACACAAATGTTATGGTAAAGTGTAATTGGTGAGTAAAATTGTGTACTTTTTTATGAAATATAGACTATGCGATTAATCATAAATACAAACAAGTAGTGCGAACATACTCTCCAAAGAAGATTCATTAAATAAATATGCTAATTTGCTGTTATTATATATCTGTGATGCATGGAAAACTTCCCTTTAATTGATTACACCTGAAATGATTTACATATTTTTTTGTTTCTGTCACAATACGTTAGCAGAACTTAAATATTGAATGTTTATGGAAGAATAACAATTTTTACCAATTAAACATTTGTATTTCAATTTTTAAATAGGAACAATGTGTTAGAATTAACTTGTTGAAGTTATTTATCATCAGGTTCCTATGTGATACACAAAGCTACACAATGGGCTATCTGTACTCTGCCTACCATGGCTATCGAAACCCGGTTTCTAGCGTTGTAAGTCCGCAGACATACCGCTGTGCCACTGGGGGGGCGGTATCATAATGTACAATTGTTTTTTATTTATGAAATAGAATAAGTTATTCTGAAAATAGCGAAATCAAGAAATGCGTTAAATAATTATGAAAGATGGTTAGATATTTATAGCAAGGCATGCAGAAATAACACTAACCAGAAATTAAAACAAAATGTAGTGTTACATTATCTTATGGTGGTGCATGAGGATTGGCTGGACTGTGGATAGCAAGGTTTGTGGTTCGCGACCGTTACCACCGAAAAATGTAACCACGCTCAGTACTTTAGAGTTATGGGTGCGTTATAAGAGTGAGGGTCAAATCTGACTACTCTAATAGAGTAGCCTATAAGTGGACGGCGGACGGTGTTTTCTAGCTGCATTCTCCGTAATCTATCATTTCAAAATTAGATAGCCCTCGAATATAACTTTGCTCGAAATTCAAAAACAAGCACGAAGGCTGAACTTTTATAATAAAAATATCACATGGAACGACAAGTTGAAGCAAAATAAAAGTAATTACATTCGATATAGTAACTAGTATAATCAACGTTATTAATGAAAAAAAAACAATAAATAAAAAACATATGTTACTTAGGGAACCCTCAAATTCTAGTTCCTGCCTTGAACCATTAGGTCCTTGATGTATATTTTTTTGGAAAGTTGCTCTCTGATGAATACGGCACTTTAAAATGTCAGTAAGGCTTGGAATGTAAAGTGGATCAGGGAAAGTAAAAATAAAAAAAGTGCTTGGAGAGACGTATTAATAAAGATAAGCACATCGTCAGGGAAAAAGAACAAAATCCAATGAAGAAACGGCTGCAAGTAAATAGCCATTTCGGAATTAAATTGTGCTAGAAAAATGACATAAAAAATGTTCGTAAAGAACAACAGGAATTTCTGAAGTAAGAATTTGTGCCCTGAGTGAATTTAGGTGGGACATGATATTCAAAGTTGCATTAAGAATCACGGTTCTTATTTTTTAGGAATATTCTAGCAATACGTGGCGACAACTTTGTCCTGGTTTAAAGACACTTTACTTGGCGATCGTACATTTTTCCTTATGTCTAAATGTTAATCTGAAATGTCCTTGTACTTCCTAACGATACCGGGTAACCCTTGTTAAACAGGTTTGTGTAATGCGAACATTCTAAACACACTGTCTCATTTTTGCTATTTCAAACTATTATAGCTTGTTTCTTTAAAGCTTTTTTTTAGTATAAAAAATATCGTTTTACTGTTTGCCACAAAGAGATACATGCAACTGATATAATACATTAAGCTCCATGTTCAATAAACAATGAAATTCATATGTTCCATTAAACACAAGTGTCGCTGTAAAGTGAGTGCTTAGTTTTTTTCGTAAGCTGTTTCATTTATTACTAGGTTCGTCTTTCTGAGTTTCTTAAGTGGCGCCAACACAACAGAGACAGAAGTTAAGCAACAAACTCAAAGACGTCAGTTTAAAACTGTCAGCCCGTTTAACATCATTCGCCACAATTAAACCTGTGTTAGCATTACGTTAGTTGAATGGCAACAAGTTTCAATAAACTATAAACTATAGCAATACCCGTGGCTTTTAACGTGGTATATATAGGTTTGTATAGTTATTTTGGCTAAATATTTTCGTACACAACTGTCTTGTTATTGTATAGGGGGTCCTTACAAACTTTGTTTTTTCAGATCGAAACCTTATATAGTTTGCATAATTATGTGTTGCTTGGTCTTCTGGTGCACATATGAATGTATACTGTAAAAAAAATAACTTTGCTTATTCTTTACTTCGGGTATACGACACAGTTACACAAGAGCTAACTGCTCTATCCGTTTCTAATTTAGAACTGATAGAATAGAAGGACGGTAGCTATTCCGCAGCACCCACCGCCAACTCTTGAGCTTTATTTAATTGAAAGTGTGGAATTTGACCGCTATTCATATAATTTACTCACAGCTCTAAAATGCGGAGAGCGTTTAATTTTTGGATTTTGCGGGACGCGAATCATGAAAACCACAATTTGGCAAGTTAACCACTAGACCACATACGACCGACCAAATATATTTTGTGTTCTGTTTAGTGCGTCAGAATGGTCAATATATGCTCAACAGGAGCAAATTATTTATTTGAGCTCAGCCTCTAAATTTACAAAACTACAAATTAAACCTTTCTGACATATTATTGAAACTGAAGAAAAACGAAATAGTATAAACCTTGACAGCATCATGACTACAAAATTTATTATTATATTCTACCAAAACTTGTAATATACGTTGACTATGAAGTATGTATTGAACTAGGTTGTAGTCTTTCTTCGCCAAAATGTAGTCAGGCTTGGTAAAAGATTTGTAATTTAGGACTTGAATACATACTGATTAAAGTTTAACAGAAAGACTAAACTATGTTAGCGGGCAACCAGTGGCACAACGGTATGTCTGCGTATTTACAACGCTAGAAACCGTGTTTCGATACCCGTGGTGGGCAGAGAACAGACAGCTTTGTACTTAACTTGTACGGGCAGCTGTTTGTGCTAGTTCCTACGGAAGGCGTTATTAGGCATTTGGTTCAATTACTTTAGTATGACAATCTCAATCAATAGAATATACGTGAACTTTTTGAACATTTTATTACTAACTAAATAACTTCTTGATATACAGCATTACGATTTTCTTATCTGCCTCTTTTGTGAGCATGAACATGTTGTCAGGCGATCGGGTTCTTGACAATGCCACATATATCATATCATGTGTAAAAGTCTCATTCTGTTTTCATAAGACACCCAATCATAATTCAAGTTTGTTAGACTCTTCTCCTTATGATGTTGACAAATCACACGAAGTTTCATCCAAATCGGACTTAAACTGTGGAAGGAGTTTTGCGGACAGACAGACATTAGACTCTTATATTTTGGGATATAATACATTGAACACTGACCTCTGAATGTTTATTACTTTTGTATTGTATTGGTTGAAGATGTAACTGTATTATAATACATTATTTTCTGGTATATTACAACATGATATGAGATGATTAACCGCATACTTGAATTTCATTTAATGTTTCTTACCATCAATCAAAAATATTCTGTCTGTATTATTCCAAAAATAAATGTGGGGTAGATTGGGATATGTTATTCTGAATTAAAGGCTAAAATACACTTGCAGATAAATTGTATTAGGAATTTTCAAGTAATTAATAAACATTTTAATTCTAGCATTTAAAATACAGAATACAGCTTAATGTATCGAAATTCAGCTTCCAAACAATTCATGCACGTTACATTTTAATACCATATTAGGAAGTATCACGTTTATTGATATATTTTTATGATAGAAACACTTATACGTTTATACTTATGCTAATGTATTTCACATTGAACAATATAAGCCAAATATAGTTTTCAATATCAAAAGATAAGTCCATATATGGAAGTTCCTTATCCTTACCTTATTTCTTATTTATAAATGACTCATATAAAAATTGATAAGAAATACGCCTCATTAACTTAATCTTGTTCACAACATAAAACATTGTTGTTATTCCAATTTGATAGCATAAATAGCATCTGAGTCACTATTACATATGTCGTATCCCAGCCAACCTGAGGAACCTTGGTCTTATGCGAAAGGCCTAGTCGGTATTGGACATGGCAGATACAGTGTGGTTAACATATTATTGTACTCTCTCCTTTTTTTTCACTCAGAAGTTCTGATTAATATTTTCTTTCATAAGTATTTCTTGCATTTTATTTATAACTAGGCCGTAGGTTTCAAATGGCCTTTTTGTCATGTTTATTGTAATATTTTATTTCTAGCATTTTATATTTTCTGTACAAAGAGCATTTCATACTCGTGTATTGAAATGTTATTGTTTCATTTTATGATAATTTACCTATCTGGTAAATAGCTGGCCAAAGGTCAGTAATTCTCGGTATAACATAATTAAAGGAAACAAAAAGAAAGAGTCTCTTATACCAGACCACAAAATATATTCAACATAAGCATATCTCAATGTGCTTATTCATTGGATATTTTTATCTAAAAAAAAACTGAGACTCCACATTTATTTAATCAGAAGGCCTTTGTGGCATTCTTGTTGTAAGGTAGCAGACTCTTGTAATATATATATATATCCAGACTTTTTTTACCTACAACGGAGATAGAACTGTAAAATGGGCTTTTAGGATATGTAAAATATGAAATTTTGGGAAACAATAATAATTAGATATTTCTAATTCATTGATATTTATAGCAGCCCCCTACTGTCAGAACCAACACGTCAGACCGTCTGCGAAGTCTTCGAGAAGTTATGAAGCTGTCTGGTTATGATGCATACATCATTCCTTCCGAAGATGATCATCAGGTGAGTTTCATTTCCGCCACGTTTAATGACCAGTATATGGAAGTTGTTTTGATTACGCCAGCTGAACGTCTTCTGCATTGTTTCACAGTAATATGTTGACATATTTTAAGACGCACGTGTCGTTTGTTCTAAGTTTGAAATTTCCCTGAATATTTCTAATACTATGAACAATGCAGTGAATTTTTTTAATACATTATACATCTTAAAATTAAACTGTATTTTATAAAATCAAAATATGGAATAATACCTATCTTACATCTGAACAAAGCTGGTATAACCTCTACTTTACTCCTAGTTACAGCTGTCTCACTGCATTTCTCACTTTAGATTACACATCATCATGCTCAAGAGTTAAGTGAAAAATACACTTCACCAGATTTCATTCAGCAGATTTTGTCTAACCCTTGTTTATACTGAGTATATTCGTTAGATTATATCTGCAAAACGTAGGTATATAACGTGATAATGAAAGATGTACGTGTACGTGGTAAACTGGAAAATTACTGCGTTTTAAGAAGACATAGAACAACATTGAACAACATAACAACAACGAGGGTTAGCTGCGCTAGACTAGAAGGAAGGCAGCTAGTCATCACCACCCACCGCCAACTCTTGGGCTACTTTTTTACCAACCAATAGTGGGATTGATTGTCACATTATAACGCCCCCAACGGCTGAAAGGGCTAGCATGTTTGGTGTGACGGGGATTCTATAGAACAACATGTACGAAACGTAGTTAAAAACCAGTGTAATGTGTAATTCATGGCGTCCTACATTTGTCCTATTAAAATGTTTACTGCCTTTAGGTGTTATATTTAGATGACCCAGATTTTTGTAGTTAGGTTCAATAACTGAAAGTAAGCAATGTGGGCTGACATTTTCAGACGAATAGAACTAAAGACTTTATAAAGGCATTTACATATATATGAAAGTAGAAACCATAAATATCGGAATTAAATAAAATGAACGCATTGAATTTGTTGAAAACTTCGTATCTAAAAAACATTATCCTCAGTTATGAAGTAAAAATATCGAAACATACAATTGGTAACACAAAACCACAATGTAGCAGTATTAATAATTTACCAGAACAAATTAAGGCTTAGTGTTAAAACACTTTTTGCGTTGACATACCACCCAAAGAGTCCACGGAAACAATTTCTACTAATTTTGGAAGTTGAATGATACACAACCAAACTAATAACATTAAATTAATGTGTCTTTTGTTATACCTTACAAAATAAAAGCAGTAATTTAGTTCTCTTATTTCACCAATCCCTCCAAACACTACTGTTATTCCCTTGTTTTATTTTCATGCTCTAAGATCTATCTAACTCTTTCGTCGGAAAGTTTGAATATCTATTTTACCTCATACTAACATGGACTAGGCGCGACCGTTAGTTAAGGCTCCCGGATCCTCAATTCAAATGATCATGGATCACGACTCGTTGCCGCATAAACGCGCTCCGCACTGTTCGATCAGATAAAAGTTGGAGGTGAATGCTGTTTACTAGAAAGAAGCCCCCTCTCTCTCTAGTTCGTCAGTTAAAAGTTGAGAAACTATGGACAGGTGGGTCTTGTAATAACTATAGCTGAAAAATCTGAAACAAACATGTTTGTGAGTGTTACATTACTCAGTTAAGTGGTGATCTTGAATCCCAGAAGATTCATACTGATACTCTGGTTTATTTTTGCTTCTTCTATTCATTTTTTCAGAATAAAAAGAGGAGTTTCTTTTTACATTCTTTTATCTTTATGAAAATGTTCTACTTCTTTTCGAAGTCAACTCTGATTAATGTTTGTTAGTGTAGATATTCGGGGGTTCGGAGAAGAGAAGATATCTTCACAAGAGAAAGAAGTAAGGCTTGTAGCACAGAAAGTTAAACGTCTCAAATTGCATAAATATTAATGTAAAAAACGAATATAGAGTCATAAGCACGTGTTGAATTGTTCTGACTATTACTTATTTAATAATTCCATTTCATCATTTCAAACTTCGGTTTTTACATGTTCAACACTTGGTGAACCTTGCCTATAATGATGCTTGAATTCAAATCCGTAAATATTTTGATGTTGGAAAAACTATAAAATATTGAAGTATATATGTGTGTGTTTGTGTGTGTACTCAGAAGAAGAAGAAGGAGAAACAGTCTGGAATTACCAATATTCATTAAAGTACAAATAGTATTTAAAAACAGTGTTTCCTAATCGCTCAAACATTTTCAGACTAACATCTATCACAGCTATATAAAGCTGATAAATTTATATAACTACTACTAAAATATTTGTTTTAATTACACATACTTTTGTAGGTAACGACCAATTACAAATTTGTGTTGATCAACTGAATGTTATAAAAATGTTTTTTTTGTGCTTCATTCATTTTTCGTTTTGCTTAAAACAACAACAATTGTTTACGTTTTTCAGAGTGAATATGTCAGTGAATACGATAAGCGGCGGAAGTATATCTCGGGATTTACAGGATCAGCAGGTAACTGTATAATTAGTATTTCTAAAATCATTGGAAATTACTTTCCTGTTTCGTATGTATTAATAAATATTAAACACAATAATCCTGAAGTAATCTATAAAAGAAATAAGCGAGTTCGTGATCTCGAATTTATTCTTGAAATTTAAAATTGGACGATTGAATTCCTCACGATACTGGATGTAAAAATATACAAAGTTTCATACCTCAGTACCATAGTATTCATTTCATAATAACAAAAGGTACAGTTAAAGATCGGAAAGTTTTAAATAAGATATTTCTTATATCTTTTCATTAATTCACCTTGCATGTACAAAATCTAGGTGCTCTTACAATAACTGAGACAGCTTGTGGGTCAAGATTTAGTTAATATTAATAGACTGAAAATTATCACTAGCTTGGCATACATTAATATAAAATGGTTACATACTTAAAACTGAGACACTTTAGAGCATTGAATCGCTTCCAAGAGACAGCAAAAGCAAACAGAAGATATTAGTAGTTGGCAAAGGACAACAACACATCAGAAGGATTGATACCTTTTTACATTTGCAAGTAAAAATCAGACGTTGAATGGCACACGTCTTCAGTGAAACCTCATAAATGTTTCTGGAACTACTATCTCCATCCAGCCAGTGAGAAACGGACTCCATGCAGCTAGCCTGAGAGTTAGAAGACTAGCAGTGCGAGTTCCAATGAGAAGCAGACACCGACAGCACAGGCTTCAATGGTGTAGGGACCACCTAGACTGGACAACAAACTCTTTGGTCAAATGTTCTCTTCACGAAGGAGTCTAGATGTTGCCCTGGGCTATCATGATGTACACACTCTAGTGTGGAGACGACCTAATGAGAGATAAGTACATGTGAATGTGACAGAACGTGACCGATATGTAGGTAAGTCAGCGATGGTTTAGGGTGGTATCAGACTTATGAGTTATACAGACTTGTGCATCATCCTGAATGGTGCTTTGAGCGAAGAAAGGTACAGGGATGAAATACTGTGTGTTTTTGTGAGGACATATGCAAGAGCCATAGGTTCACATTTCAGTTTAAAATATGAGATTGCAAGACCACATACGACCAGGCTGGTGAACCAGTACCTGGAGTATGAGAGTATGGAGAGAAAGGACTAGCCAGCATGTTCACCTGACCTGAATCTTATTGAACACGCTTCTGACAGACTGCAAGCAGCAGTATCAGTTCGTCCAGTTTACCTACCAGCCTGAAGAAGCTTGGAATCGCCATAGCCCAAGAATGGAACAATATGCCTCAACAGACATTCACCATTCTGATCCAGGGCATGAGAAAACGCTGTCAGGCTGTCATTAAAGAAAGAAGAAGACACACCCGATATTAAGCTGAAAACAGAACCCCTTTTGCTGAATACGTGAATAGTTTGATATTTTCAATATTAATCTTTATTTTGAGGGTAACTCAGATTCTGGACATTAATTTTGTTATAATGTCTTTATTTTTGTCAAGGTCAATTAAAACCTTGTTGTCGAATGCAAATGAACGCTTTTACATTAGATTTTGTTTAAATTTTTTAATATTCCTTGAACTATTTAAAAATTATCCTGTGATCCTTGGCAAGAATTGAGTAGGATACGTTTTAATTAAAAGTTTTATTTTACATGCTAGGAATTGCAGTAGTACTTCAGGCAGAAAATGAAGGTGCTGCCCTCTGGACAGATGGCAGGTATTTTTTGCAAGCTGATGAAGAATTGGATTGCAATTGGTTGCTGATGAGATTAGGTCTGTCAAAAACGCCTAAAATTTCAGAATGGTTATCAAGCAAACTTTCAGAAGGAGCAACTGTCGGAGTAGATGCTAGGCTTATCACCTACACAAGGGTTAGTATCAGTTTTAATTTTAGTTTAGTAACGAACGTCCAGTATTGTAGACTTGATGGCCGTGAAAAAACAATAACGTATCATAAATATTTTAATTAAAAAATAAACTGTTTAAGTCTTGGTTTTTAAATATGGAGCAGCTATGCAGTTGTCACGTGTTTATATTGCTACTTTTCTATTCCGTTTTTGTGATATATCTGCAGTAGCAGTGCTAATCATTAATTTCTGGTCGTCAAAAATAGATGATATTAGTTTAGTAATCATGTCTTCCGCGAGTGAAGTGATTGACAGAGCTCTTATGGTAAGCATCATGTTACTAAGTGTTATCCTGCATATTTGACAAAAGTTTTGTTGTTAAGTTACCGAAGCTATCAACAAATCCTCATCAAATTTAACCTTTTATGTTACGATTGTAATTGATTTTGTAAAAAAGCGGTTTCGGTAAGAAAAATGAAAATACTTTACTATCGTTCACATAATAACAAAAAATAAAAATAATACACTCAGTCATTGTATTGTTTTAGCCGCGGCATAGCACCTCATAGAGTGGTTCTGAGTTTGTCTTCAAGTACAAACTTTTAGCTCATAACTCTATCTCTTGACCGATTTGAAATATAATTATAGCCGCGGCTATTGAGGATTCCATCTTGTTAGCCGCGACATAGCACCTCATAGAGTGGTTCTGAGTTTGTTTTCAAGTACAAACTTTTAGCTCATAACTCTATCTCTTGACGATTTGAAATATAATTATAGCCGCGGCTATTGAGGATTCCATCTTGTTAGCCGCGGCATAGCACCTCATAGAGTGGTTCTGAGTTTGTCTTCAAGTACAAACTTTTAGCTCGTAACTCTATCTCTTGACGATTTGAAATATAATTATAGCCGCGGCTATTGAGGATTCCATCTTGTTAGCCGCGGCATAGCACCTCATAGAGTGGTTCTGAGTTTGTCTTCAAGTACAAACTTTTAGCTCGTAACTCTATCTCTTGACGATTTGAAATATAATTATAGCCGCGGCTATTGAGGATTCCATCTTGT